ACTCCGAGCCCTCCCCGCGCCGTCTCCGAGCCCGCACCGGCGGTAAGGCTGATCCCCCGGACCCCTCGCCCTGCAGCGCCCGAGGGATGCTCAGTCAGGGGTACCCCGAGTCCCTCGGCACCATCCCGTCCCGCCGAGGATGCTCCGGGACACCCCCAGTCCCGCTCGGGGTGCGGGATCCCCGCGGGGAGCAGGATCCACCGTCACTCCTGTCCCTGGGGATCCCCAAGCGGGGCAGAATCCACAGTGACTCCTCTCCCCGGCACCGGGTGAAGTCCCAGCTCCTCCCGCTGTGTGCCCAGTCTGCCCTTGGGGGGAACTTGGGGTAAAACCACCCCGAATTTGTCCTGTCTGTTAAGCACAGAAACGCCTAATTGCGACTTGTTCGGGCAGAAGTGAGTTGAGTATAGTTTTTAACCTGTCCCCCAAAGCAGCTCAGGAAAAGGCTTGAGGAGATGGGATCACTGTAAAACAGTAAATGCAGCACTGCCTGTATCATTTACAGGAGACGAACTGAAATTACTAAACCTTAACTAGTAGGAAACGCTATTTTTTTACAGGATTGTAATCTCTGGGACGGGGCAGAGAGAAAGAGCATCAAGTGTTGCTCGAGGTGGATGAGGTAGTTACAGAAACTATCGATGAAGTGTTGAATGTTGGCTGCAATTACTTGATTTCTCTCTTGTCTGCTCAGTACTGAGCCAATATCCAGCAACTTGTCATGTGTTTGCTGAGTATCCTTCACTAACGTGACGACGGTAAATGGTTAAGTGTAACTTGTAGATCATTTTGCCGGCAGCGATTTTCAGCGGATAATGCTGGAATGTGTTTATTTTAACAGGAGCATTCTTTCTCCTACCTTATCAGCTATCTTTATTCCTCCACAGCCCTTATCACACAAGTATTTACTTACAATCCTTTCTTTGCAGGCTAATACCCTACACAGCAAGTAAAGAACTTGCATATGCAGATTGCTGGAGAAGAGGCTGAAGGACATCCTGTTTTGATTTAGCAAGTGCTGTTTTTCTTTGGGGTGAAATGAAGAGTTTGGTTTTGTTTTGGAAACACTCAGATTTCTAATGCAGCTGAACTTCAATAACACCCCCCCTTTTTTTTTTTTTTTAGTAGAGATTTCAGCAAATTAATTTTTCTCGAACAAAGATGCAGAACTTGTCACTAGGAGAAAGTCTTACTGGTACAGACACATCACACCAGGGGTCTCTAAAAGACCTGGCAGCTGAAGCAGGTGCTGTCTCTCTTGATGAGAGTGGCTGTAACTGGAATGAAAGGACAAGCAGTGAAGAAATTATTAATCTCGAAGTAATGCAGCAAAGCCTCCCTGGAGGGAACAGCAAAGGGAGAAGCTGTGAGGAGGTTTCTGAGAGCAGTTTTAGTGCCTCAGAACCCAGCGGTTCCTGGGGGGATTTTGAAGGCTTCAGGGAGTCCTTAGATGAAGCAGAGAGAGTCGGTCACAATGCTGAAGATTTGGTGAAGTCAACAGAACCTTCTGGAGCTGGCAGAGACTTCAGCAGCAATTCTGCTGTGTGTTTGGGTGCTGAGCCACTTCTGTGCAGCAGGACACAGGAGGCCTCAGGATCTCTGGACGAGGTATGTGTTCACAGTGAGCCGGGGACCACAAACGTTTGTGTTGCTGCTTCCTTCGTCTCCAGACTTGTATCTGTCTTCTCTGCAGAGGATAATGCTGGACAGGGCAAGACACTCAAGCTACTTTGCAGCTAACTCAAGTAGAACAAAACAAAAGCAACTTCTTTACAGTGTTTGGCAAACACTCAAGTTTTCCTGCTGCAGAGCTTTAAAGAATGTAATGATCTACTTTGCTTCTAGACACTGGGAATGAGTAAGCACCTAGAAACCATGGACTTTGCCCTAAAGCACATGTCATTTGAAAGCTAGGAAAGCAAGAGCACAGGATACAAAACCAGGAGGGTGGGTGACAGAAGTGATGTGGGTAGAGATTCTGTGAGCTGACTGCAAGTTTATTGAAGCAAATCAATGTAATAGTGAGTGGAAATTGGCAAAAAACAATCACTTTTGTTGGATAATTAACTGCCCAAATAATATCAACAGGTTTATGGAATTTTAGGCCGGTGGTGGTAGGAGTTAATGACACAAAAAGTCAATAGAAATCGCTTTATAGAATGCATTTTTTAGCATAGGATGTTACATTCTCTGATAGAGTGATAGAACTGATACTCAGAGTAAATAATGTCATAGAATCAACTGGGTTGGAAAAGACCTCCAAGAGTCCAACCCTACTGTGGGTACTAGACCATGGCACTAAGTGCCACATCCAGTCTCATGTTGAAAACCTCCAGGGATGGTGAATCCACCACCTCCCTGGGCAGCACATTCCAATGCCTCATCACTCTCTCTGTAGAAAATCTCTTCCTAATATCCAACCTAACCCTCCCCTGGCAGAGCTTGAGTCTGTGCCCTCTTGTCCTGCTGCTGGTTGCCTGGGAGAAGAGACCAACCCCCACCTGCATGCAACCTCCTGTCAGGGAGTTGCAGGGGGTGATCAGGTCTCCTCTGAGCCTCCTCTTCTCCCGGCTGAACACCCCCAGCTCCCTCAGCCTCTCCTCATGGCACGTGTGCTCCAGTCCCTTCACCAGCCTCATTGCTCTTCTCTGGACCTGCTCCAGCACCTCAATGTCCCTCCTGAGCTGAGGGGCCCAGAACTGAGCACAGGATTCAAGGTGTGCCTTTGATCATGTATCCTCACGGCACAAAAAGGTCCAGGTAAAGGGTTATACCTTGTTGTGATGAATGTGTTTCCATGTGGACCAAATATGTATCCCCAAAGGGAAGGAAAATGACAAGAGTGAGGAAAGAACATACAAACACAGTACAAACCCTCCTTGTTCTTACCACTTTTATCCTAAATCACAATTGGAAATAGAGAGCAATTGACTAAGAGTCCCATGGGGTTAATCAGTAGCAGAAATATCTTACTGCTTGTAGTCTGTTGGGTGCATTGTGGTATGTGGAGGGAGCAGAGGCTCTTCTGGAGACAGGCTCATTGCCCTTGCCTGGGAACTTCACCTGTCCAGAGCTATCACCTGGGAAAACACAAAGATGCAGGTGAGATCACCTGTAGAGATACACGATATGCCTCATTTTTGGAACCAATAATTGAAATCATGATGCGGGAAATGGGGGACAAGAAATCTTTTGTGGGAAAAAGAGAGAGTGCAATGACTAAAATGGAATATAGCAGGTTGGTTGGTTTCTTTCCAAAAGCAATAGATCTTAATCTTACTGAAGCCTTGGCTTTAGTTTTGCATTTCTTACAGGCAAAAGGAAATGTCCAGAACAAGCAAAATGAGTTAACTATGCTTAGAGCTTCAAGTTGTCTTTTCTTGCCTCAGGCCAGAGAGACAACTGCAGAGTGGCTGGAGATTTCTTTGGGTGTAGCTTGTCCTTCATCCTTGTGCTTTTTGTATTGTTTGTTTGAAATCATAAACTCATTGAGTTGGACCTCTGTCTGCTGTAAGGTCAGGTAGGTTGGATCTAGAGATCATCTGAGGTCAGAGGTCTGACCTTCAATATTTATTGCTTCAGTTAGTTAAAGTGTCTTCACAGAATCAGTTTGGGAAGGGACCACAGTGGGTCATCTGGTCCAACCTGCCTGCTCAGGCAGGGCCAGCCCAGAGCATATGGCTCAGGATTGTGTCCAGAGGGTTCTTGAACACCTCAGTGAGGGAGAATCCACGACCTCTCTGGGCAATGTGTTCAGTGCTCAGTGACTGCGCAGGAAAGAAGTTCTTCCTCGTGTTCAGGTGGAACTTCCTGGGCATCAGTTTTTGCTGTTCCCTCTTGTTTTATTGGTTTTCCCCACTGAGCAGAGTCTGATCATCCTCTTGGTACTTCCCATTCATGTCCTTGGATCCATTCCTGAGGGCCCTCTCTGTCTCTTCTTGAGGCTGAACAGCCCCAACTCCCTCAGCCTTTCCTCATCCCTGAGGTGCTCCAGTCCCTTCAGCATCTTCCTTGCCCTCCCCTGGACCTGCTCCAGGAGCTCCATGTCCCTCTGGCCCTGAGGAGCCCAGAACTGGACACAACACTCCAGGGGTGACCTCACCAGGCCTGAGGAGAGGGACAGGATCACCTCCCTTGGTGTCAATGTTGATCTGGAGCAGAATCGTGTATTTTAAGAAGGAAACAATCACTGATTCCCTTGCATTAACTGGATATTTTGCCTACTTTACTGAGCCCTTCAAGGATTTTTCAGGTTCTTTTTAAACACTGGTCTTTGTGAGAAGCTCTGGGGCACCCGCTTGAGCCCTGGAGTGTTGTGATGTAATAGGATGTAGATGATTTAGTCAGAAAGCATGGAATGAAATTCCTGCCTTCATGTTTGTATAATCAGTACAAAGCTACAAGACACATGGAAACATAAGCAAATTTGGCTTTAGAAACACCTGCTGAAGTAGGCAGTAATAAAGTGAATAAAAAATCTCACACTTTTCATCTGTTTTGGCTAAGCTGTAAGTCAGTGACTTGTCTGTGTTGGAGCAGCACCACAGGCTCTGAAGGGATCCCAGGATGAAGGCAGAGCTGTGCTTCCCTCCGTGCACACTCTGTGGATGTCCTCCCTCCACCCCACACCTAGGAGCAGCTGCCTGCCCTTTTCTTCATGAACTGCTCCAGACAAGAGGGCACAGACTCAAGCTCTGCCAGGGGAGGGTTAGCTTGGATATTAGGAAGAGATTTTTTACAGAGAGACTGCTCAGGCATTGGAATGTGCTGCCCAGGGAGGTGGTGGAGTCACCATCCCTGGAGGTTTTCAAGCTGAGATTGGATGTGGCACTTAGTGCCATGGCCTAGTAACCACAGTAGGGTTGGACTTGATAATTCTGGAGGTCTTTTCCAACCTGGTTGATTCCATGATTAGCCAGGGAAGGTCAAAACACTCCCAAGATACCCTGGAGCACTTCCAGCAAGGGGCAGAGCATGGAGCTGTCTCCAAGAGTGAGAAAACTCCTTGGGCTCATTCCCCACAGGAGCTTGGGCTGCTCCTTGCCACATTCCACAGACTCCAAAGCCAAAACATTCCAAGCTGCTATGGAGAATTCCCAAGGAGCTGCAGAGCACAAACCTGCAGTGTCCTGCATCCCCACAGCCTGCCTGGAGCTGTGGAGCTGTGGCCAGGGGAGAAGTGGAGTCTCCTGCTCTTCTGAGTCTCACATTTCCTCCTCCTGTTCCCTGAGCAATGCCCTGTGCAGAGAGCTGTGCCACAGGCACATCCTCATCAGGTCACTGCTGTCCTTCAGCAACTAATCACCTCCTTCTCGAGCAGCAGTGTCCCTGGAGAGGCTGAGGATGTCTGGCCCTTTTCCTGGAAGGCACAGGACAGGGAGCAGGATGAAAGCGTCACAGGGGCTGAGACCTCTGGCTGGGTTTGACCTCTATGACGATTATCTCTGAGCACAGAAGCCTTTTACCAGCTCTGCTGGGTTTACCACTCACCATTAGACTGAATCCTTACCCTCTCAGTGTTCCCTGCACTTGTCTGAGTTCTGTGAAACGAACATGGGGAAATACCTCAGTTTATTTCAGCTGTTTCAATTGCAATTAAATGAAACTGTCAAGATCTGGTGTATCCATACTTATGTTTTCCAGGCTCAGTTGCTGATGGATAGACAAAGGGAACAAACTGAATGGTTCCATTCTCTAGTCCTCACTCAGCATTGCTGCCCCTGGACCACAGTCCCTCAGCAGGGTGGTGAACTCAATCCACTGCCTTCATGGAGAAAAATGCTGTAATTCCTTCTTGGAAGGAATAAAAGGACACAGCTCCTGGACCAGATGGCACGAGAACATCCCCTTAGGGCAGGATGTAAATTATCCACATTTTCTCTTGTATACGTATTTCTTATTTGTCAAAGAATCCTGTGACTTCCAGCAGGTCTGTGTGGATCACTCCTGTGGTCATGTTCAGCCCTCCAGATCTCCTCCTCATCACTGTGGGAGGAAGAACCAGGCTGTAAATCTGGCTCTGATTTTTAATACAGGCTGGAAAAGGTTTGTGCAGGAATATCCTTCCCCAGCTTTTCTGCAGACTGACAGTGTGAGCATTTATTGGTAGCTTTAGCATTTAGCAGTTGTGTTACTTTTGGCTGAACAGGAGTGTCTGGTACCCCTGGCACTGGGGGAGGTCACAGGTCAGTGCTGCACTCAACTTTGGGCCCCTCATAGCAAACCAGACTATGACTTAGAAGTTGGGAAGTTAGAGTCTAAGGTTCATCAGAAATTCCTGGGCTCTTGCTTCTCCTCCTCTAACTCTAGGAAAAGACTCAAAACCTGAGCCATGGGCTCAGCTCCTCTGTGCCATTAAGACAGTATCTAACACAATAAAACAATCTCCAGACACATTGTAGTCTCTGGACTAGGTCCTCCATGAGCTGTGGGGATGGCCTGTATAACATCTGTAATAAAACTCTCTTCTTTCTAGGCAGAGCACAGCTACGAGGACATTTTTAAGTTGGGCTTTCCAGAAGTCTTTGTTCCAAGGTCCACAGAGAGCATAAGAAGCTTAGAGCAAGTCCTTGCTACAAATAATGAAGATGTTGGGATACCTGAACTTTGGAAGGACCAGCTTTGGTAATGAGTTCAAATCAACAGTTTAAAAAGAAACAAGTTCCTCAGCAGTTACCCTGTTTATTTGCTCATTTCATCATTAGGTAACCAGTGGTACTTGCAGGAGAACTTTCAATATGCTCCTCAGTGTTTAGATCTTACCAACCTGGCTTTGTGCTGCTGAAGGAAATGGATGGTGGTTTAGCCATTGGAAAACAATGCAGGGAATATATCAAAGTTACAAACTCCTGCTTGGAGTTTTTCCTGCTGTTGGTGAGCCTTCTTATGACTAAGCCTGTGGAATGCCAGAAGCCACCAGGCAGCCTGTTCTTCCTGTTTGCTTCTCCTTTCCTTGCAGCACATCCCACTTACTACTTCATCAGCTCAGGCTGCTGCGTCTCCTAACAAGCTTTTTGTTTCTTTCCCCCGTTTTCCCAGGTGGTAACTTCTCGTGTTTCACCAGATGTGCTTCAGAACCTGTGGTGCCTCCGGCTTCTTTCCTGGCTTATGTTAATAGCAATTAGTATCATTAACTAAGCCTTCTCTAGCGACAGCTGGAGCACTTCTAGATTTGTCATATGTTTTTGGAGGCTCAGCAGCCTCTGAGCTGTGTTGTAGTTACTGAACAGCATAGTAGTTCTCTCCGCATAACTCTGTGGCTTTGTAGCCAGAAAGCTGACTCAGCCCACACTTGGGAAAGGTCCCGAGGCTCAGGAGACATGTGGCTAAACATTCAATGTGAGCATCCCTTCAGCAAGTTCCCTGCACATGGGTTATATTTGATCAGCCTCAAACTTGTAGAGAATCAAAGAACAACAGAATTTTAGGGGTTGGAATGGAGCTTAGAGCTCACCCAGCCCCAACCCCTGCCCTGGGCAGGGACACCTCCCAGCAGAGCAGGCTGGGAGGTGGGGTTAATAGTTTAAATGTAGGAGGAGTTTCAAGAGAAGTTGCTTGTTAGATCCAGGCAGGGCAATACACAACTCTATACTGTGTATGTAGTGAAAATAACTAATTACACATGTTCACTGGAAACTTTGTGCAGCTTCTAACCTCAAATCCTCTTTTCTTTCCTAGCATGGATTCTGGAAACCTCTGGAGAACACTCAGAGACTTTGATCATATTCCCAGCTTAAGATATCCCTGGAGTAAATCTCACAGCCACGAAAACCTCTTGAGTGTTCTTGGGATAGATGCAAATCAAACGGTAATTCAACAACAGTTTGTCAGCATAGACTCTTGGTTAGGGATTTGATCTTCTGTGAGCTATACCTGCAGGTGCTTGAGGGGCTGGGGCTGGGTGAGCCATAGGGTTTTGTTATTGAGAACTTTATAAAGTGATAGTCTTGTGTTTCCTCAGCTTTGTGTGTACAAAAGTGTGCAGGATCAAACTTTGGCTGTCTTTACACTGGAGTCTCCCCTACCCAGTGCCTGTTATTAAGTGGTACCTCCAGCTCTGGCAGAGGTGCAGAATTAGCTTCCTGTGTGCACTAGGATTGCTTACCTCTTTTTTTGCTCTGAGGATGAGAAAATCATTAGCCTCTAGTATCCTCCCATGAAGTGAAAATCAGATTTGAATCAAAGAGGCTGTTAGAGTCATTACTGGATATTTTTACTGTCTAGGAACTGAAACTGTGTTCCACTTCCCTTTTCCCCAGCCCTGGCAGTGTTCACAGCCAGGTTGGCTGCGCCTTGAGCAACCTGCTCTGGTGGGAGGGGTCCCTGCCCGGGGCAGGAGTTGGGGCTGGATGACCTCTAAGCTCCATTCCAACCCCTAAAATTCTGTGATTCTATGATTCCTCAGGTCATTCCTCTCTTTGCTTTTGCAAGGCTTGAGGGAGAAAATGCTTTAAATTGAATTGAGAGCAAACCAGCTGTGTTGAAAGACCTCAAATAGAAATATCTCTGTTTCATCTCTTATTTTGAGAAGATAAAGGTGCCAGGGATGGTTTAACATTCAGTTATTTAGTTGGGATTAATTAATCACATGTAATTTTTAGAAGTGGCTGTTTCAATTGAGAGTTTGCTGCAACATGGGCTTGGGATCCTGATTTTATGGGTGTGTTTCACCTTTTATGCAACTTACATATGAACAGAATAACAGTGCTGAAGGTGTAAGATCTATTCTGCACTTACAAGTCATTTTTATAGAGCTGTGCCATAACTGAGAGAGAATGGGAAACATTTCTCCAGCACAGTTAAACTCCCATTCTGTTCCCCCCTTGCCCGCAGATACTCCAGCACTACAGCAATGTCCAGGCAGCTCCAACTTACATCACTGCTTCTTTTCTCTTACTGGAAAATTGTGTTGCTGTTAGCACTACTGATGGTGATGTGTTTCTCAGTTGGTGCTGGTTAAGGCTGATTGAAGTCACGATTAGATTCACAAGTGTAGGTGGAAGTGGTTTGGGCATAAAAGTGTTTTGAGGCAAAGGGTGGGAAATGCAGCTCCAGAAAGTACAATTCAGTGGGTATTGTTACTCAAGGGGAAGTTCTGTTTAGGTTCTGTGCTTGGAGATCAGGTAGAAATTTGTAGAGAAAAATGTACATTTGTTTTATTAGGATAATTCCAAGAGCCAAGAGGAGATTTGTGAGGAGTCAAATGGCAAAGACAACGAGGACTTGAGGTTTGATGGATTTGGTGTTAATGACTGCAAAGCATTGATCCAGACCAAGGTAAGGATTGCCCTGAGCACTGCACAGAACACAGAGTCTATTTCCATCCTCCCCTTTGCTGTTGGCAGCAGCTTAGGACAGCTCTGACCTCTTCTCTCTGGAACCAGGGACAGGACCCAGGGAATGGGCTGAAGTTGTGTCAGGGGAGGGTTAGGCTGGAGATTAGCAACTGGTTCTTCTTCCCCCAGAGGTGTTTGGGCACTGAACAGCTCCCCAGGGCAGTGTCACAGCCCCAAGGCTGACAGAGCTCCAGAGGTGTTTGGCCAATTCTCTGAGGCACAGGGTGTGATTGTCAGGGATGTCTGTGCAGGGCAGGAGTTGGACTGGATGATCCTCAAGGGTCCCTTCCAGCTCTGATTATTCTGTGACTCTGATTTAGCACATGTCCTCATGTAACTGGTTGCTCCTGGTAGAACTGTTTGGGTGTGGAGTTGGTTGGTGCTCCTTGAAACCTCCCCAGCAGCTTTAGAGAAGGTACCTTGGCACTTGTTTGTTTCTTGTAGAAGCAAAGCAAGTTGGAAGGAAAATTGTGCCATTCCCCATGGCTGTAAAACACCTCAGTCACATTCTGCTTTTGAACAAAGTGTCTTGGAGGAATAATCTTAACCCAAGGTCAACAACAAACTTGAGCAACTGTTGTCACTATGAAGATTCACAGTTTGAGGCACATCTCATTCCTCTGTTCTGCATTGGACAAGGATGTGACTGTTCTGGGAGCCTTGTACATAAGAGATTTTAGGCTGGAGAACCCAGAAAGAAAACTAAAAGGGACTGTCCAGTTTATTCCTCATGACTCAGTTCTGCTTTCCGCAGTGACTACACGAGGGTGAGGTCACAGCAGCTGCAATGCGTGAAGTACAGGAAGAGGGTTTAGATAAAGGAAAAGTGGTTTGAGGTAGTTGAAGAAGGAGTAAAAGTGAAAAGAATCATGATCAAAGTTAAGGTAAATGGCCAATATAGTTCTTGAATAGCCTCTGGAGGGCAAGAGTAAACCCTGCAGATTGGTTGATCCATTATTGGTGTCTCAAAGTAAAATTCAGTGCAAAACATATTCATTGCCAGCCCAGGCCTGGGCTGCAGCCACAAGAGTGTGGGCAGCGGGGCAAGGGAGGTGCCTCTCCCCCTCTGTTCTGCTCTGCTGAGACCC